ACTTGGGTAAATATGTGCCTGGATACAACATGGCATAATGCTGGGTCAAACTGTTGGCTGTGATTCACTCTGGTTTCTGCATAAAGCCTTTTTCAGCACTTTGCTACCGCCTGACCTCAGCTGAGGAGGTGAGAGGTACCCGGGTACCAAAGGGACCCTTTACAAGGGAGATATTTTACCCAGCAGGAAGACTGGCTAACTTGCTGCTGAGAAAACAGGGAGTCATGCACTGGAATTACTCCTAGCAATTTCATTGGACCTTTTATTTCTCTTTTTCTTGTTACGTTAGCGATGTAATTATAATTTCAAGTTTAGAATTTAACTTGTGAAGTCTTGGGAGAAAGGAAAGGATATATATTTTGCTAAGTCAGAAGCTAAAGTATTTGTATTTCTATTAAAATTATTCTCAATATGCAGAGCCTATCTCAACACTTCTATATCATAGGGGATAAACAACTGCAAAAATATACAGCATCCTATTTATTTACAATATATATATGTACATAAAAATGAAATTTCCTACAATACAACACAACTGCATAGATTTGTCTTCAGAAACATAGGCATGTGTACAATTTGTGAATTCTAGACCTTTCCAGCCCTGTACTTTTTATTAATTCATTATCTTTTTTTTTTTTTTTTTCACAGTTTGTTACAGAAATCCTTACATTAGATACAAATAAAACATTCTTTGCGTACGTTATAGGAAATAAGGATTTTCCTGATGCCGAGGGCTCTGGGGACTTGTTTAAGAAAGCACCCTGGCGCCAGGTGATAAAGCCATCTCGTGGAGCTGCTGATGGAGCTGAGTACATTCTGCTGTGCCTTTCTCCTACAGGCACTGGGGTGGGACGGTAGGACTGGAGGTGGGACACCACCACATGGAAAGTGTTTTGTTTTGACCAAGGTGCTCTTTAGCCTTAATGTAAGGTTCAAGCAAAGAAACGTATTTATTTAAAGGTAAGTTAGAGATACCATTAATTGTTACTGTTAATACTCAATATCAGAGCGAGCTGTGGCGCTTATGCGTTGTAAGGCAGATGTACCGACACAACCCATATATCACCCAACCTGCATCTGCATGTGTGCAAGTGGAGCACAAGCTATGGGTCGGTACGTGGCTCAGGAAAGCAGCCCTCGGGAGCGGATGGGCATCCCCATCCCTGACCTCGCAGGGTGACACCAGCCGTTCTGCCCTGGACCTGCACACGGGCTGAGCACCCCTCACTCCGTGTCAGCCCTACAAAAGGTCTGTGCATTGGACCACTGACCAGAAGCAAGCATCACCCAAAGAGGTCACTGCTCCCAAGATACTGTTCCCAAATAACAATTTACAGTGTTTTACTTAGTAGGCATGTTTGTCACCGGACAGAGAGGGGCAGCTGTGTTCTGCAACTGTAAGGGTGCTTTAAGCTCACGACTATTTTCTTTGCAATGTGCTATGGACTAGGAGAGGCAGCAAGGCCGTCTTTTAAGTGTAGGATTAACTCCTACTATCTTATTAGGAGCCCCTGCTTCTAATTAGTCCTTCCTTGTACCTCACCACTCAATTGTTGCTATTACGCAAACAAGAATTTTAATGCATTTTGTTGGAGCAATTTTGCATCCAGTCTATGACATTTGCAGTGCTCACAATAGTGATAAACTCTCTATGAAAAGAAAGCATGCTACCACCTACTAAGTAGATACGGTACTCTGGATCCTATTAATTTAACAACAGAGAAACTCCTACAGCATTTCACTGTGCTCTTAAAATCCTAGCTAAAATGTGGGACTCGTACATCGTTGGCTACAAGTTCACTATTCCAAATGAACTGAATAACAGCAGTACATTTTACAGATAACCTCATACAAATATTGTCATCCATCACTGATGTTGACAGTTACAGCAGGGTCTATTGCATTCTGTTAAGAATGTATAAACCTGATGAGAAAACAAAAAGCACGTTATTTCACGTTCATTACCACAGACATCAATAAACACATGATTCCTTTCCATAAATATCTATAAATATGATGCCAGTAAATCAGTCTAATCAAAATTCCCTCTTTTTTTTTTTTTTTTTTTTTTTCAGAGACCCAGAAACAAGGTCTGCTTAAAGACTCTATTTTGGGTATCTATTTTTCTGTATCCAAGATATGCCTTGATGGTCCAGTACCTGGGGTAATTTCACTCTATGCATACACCCAGCTCATTCTTCTCCCTATTTATCCAGTAAAACTCCAGTATACAAATAAACTGGGGAAAAAAAGGCGTCAGAATAGCAAAGAGGAGAGAGAGAAGGATAGTGATGGAGGAGATGTGGGAAGTTGCAAGGAGCAATCAGTCACTCAACAGCCCTTCAAGTCGAAGGAAGCTGGGTGCCAAAACTCAATGGTTGGTATTTTAAACATGAGACTGCAGACTATTTGGGGGGTGGGAGGGAGATGTCGCAGTTGTGAAATTGCTGGTACCCCGTGCAGCAGATCATAGCAGATCAGGTAGCTCATACCGGGGTACCTGAAAGACGCTCCCAGGATCTCCTTTCTCACAATCCCCTAATGCACAGAGCTGCACTGCTCATAAATCAGTAGTAGAAGAAGGATAAAGGGGGAAGGAAAGCAGGAGAGCCCTGGAGCATCTTGAGGATAACACTGTACAGCATTCTCAAGTCTGAGTTAGGTTTTTTAGGCTAAGATCCAGAGTGATTATAAGGCACCTCAAAACCTGAAACACGACCCCAGCAAGCTGAGTCAGAGAAGGCAGTGAGATGCTGGGGTCCTGCTGCAGCGACCAAGGAGGGCTGGGTGCCTGCAAAAGGGGAGCCACAAACTTACATCCCGAGCTGGGAAGATGCTTGGAATGAGCTGCAAGGAGATAGGAACCAAGCGTGGGTTCTTCTCGCCAGAGCTTGACTAACACATGGACTCATAGGCTATTGTATGGACTTCTCTGTGATTAAGGGCAGGGATCAGTCTCATGAAGAGAGAGCGCAGAGAGACGTGGTAACCTGCACCATCGCAGGCAAGGGTTTGAGACCAGCCACAGGAAAGCACTTGTGACCTCAGCCTGGGGGTCCCAGGTAGCTCAGGGGTTTGTGTCTTAAATGCTGGGCTGGGGGGTGCTTGGGAGGAAGGACGCCGCACTGGAGACCTTGCTGGGAGCCTGTGAGTGAAGATCTGAGAGACCAGGAGGAAGGCAGAATAAGGGAATCCCATTCTGCAGTCTAGCAGGTCACTTTGCCCAGAGGGCTTCCAGTTTTGTTCTTGCTGCTGGGCTACTCTGAAGACTTGGGCAGCCTGCCGAGCCCACTCTGCCTTATTTCTGGCTCACAGTGGAGTATCGGCAGAGCTGGGTACCTCACCGCCTAGGCTGAGGTACAGATCTAGAAGTCTGGGGTTAGTAGGCTTAGTTTCTGCAGCATGAACACTCTGCATCTCGATGCTCAAATTCCAAGGAAGGCCCCAAACTAACCTCTCTGGATGTTACCCTTAGAAACCATCTTTCAACGTCCTGAGAAGTGCTCTGTGGTCTCAACTCTCAGTGACTTCAAGCCATGTAGGACAAGACAATGGCAACTGAGGCAATTCACAAGCTCACAGAAATCCCAAGATCCCGAATTCTCCATCCCTAACCTTAAAAAAAGCAAGCTGCAATGGCAGATGCCCCACAACTGATGACAGTCTCCTTCCACAGTTACAACGGGAGTCAACAATGAACCAGCTACTGGGAGCAAGAGGGTCACCGTATACGGACAGGTACGGCTCGAGCACACCGAGGGCATTGCTCAGCCCTTGGGCGTGAAGCGGGGCTCCCTTTAGCCATCGGTTCTCTCAGTGGGAGCTGGGTTCATATTTTGAGACACTTCGTAGCTGACACGGCGAATGACACAAAGTGAACACATTTATGCTGCTGGCAGTGCACTAATAGATGTCTGCTCAGGATGGTTAACGATCACCTGCTTAGCGTTTGAGTCTCTACAAGTAGTTCTCTACACCAGCTATAAGGCATTAGGCAAATGCTTATTTTGTGGACAACAGATGCGAGTTACAGTGTTTCTGCTAGTAGTAATTGAATGTCTTTAATTGTTACGGAGAATCAATGAGAAATGTAAATGAAACATTTTAAATATAAAAAGTGTTTCTGTTTGTTTAAAGAAATGTTGAAGATTTCAATTTCCATTAGAAATCCAGTAGTTTGGCAGGGCAAGTCAAATCCTGCTCCCGCTGCTGTCAAAACTCCCCCTGACTTCAGTGGGAGGAGGGTAAGACACAAGAGAGGAGCCAGTCTCTACAAGGAGTGTACAAATGAATCCCAGAACGGGAAAGGCATGAGGTATGATTAGATGTGTAGATTTTGATGAATGTGGAGCTTGCCTTTTTTTTTTCTTTTTTTTTTTTTTTTTCTGAGAGAAGTGGGGCATTAGTAAACAGTTTAACGCTGAAGAAAACGCAGGCTTCTCTTCAGGTTTAAGTACTCATGGCTTGGGGTCAAGTCTAGTTCTGGTCAGGCTCCAGCTGAAATGTGCCAGGGTAATGGTGGCTGGTGGTGGTGGCTGTCCTTCTCCTGCTCCCTGCACCCCATCACAGAGACACACAGGCCTGTTCCCCAAAGCCACAAAACAGCCAAGCCCTTGGGCTGGCTCCCCCACCAGAACATCAGAGAGAAGCACCAGATTTAGGACATACACTTGTACAATGCTCATTTACACTCTTTAGGTGCCTTTTGTGCCTGTATCCAGAATGCTACACTCAACCCAGTGAGGCAAATGGTGCACGAAACAGCAACAGAACAAACAAACAAACCAACCAACAAACTGGATGAGTACAATTGGAGAGCAGAGTTTTGGCTAAAATGTTGGGGGAAGCATGGGAACTGACATCACTCCAGTTGGGGTTGATAACAAGAGGTGCTGCTGCTCTAAAGGAGCAGAGCTTATAGTTGAAGGGCTAAGGATAATAATGGAACAATGCAATTCATGGGTGGAAGAGGAGAAACAAATTAATTGTGATGAATTTCTATGAGCAACATTCTATATATTCTCACAGACAATTAACACAGACTTTAGGCTGATCTGATAGCTCAGTATCAGGGGACAGAGTGATATGCCTGTTGGAAAAATGGCTCTGTTTTCTGCAAGAAAATACACCCATAATAGTATTTTCAGTACTGGATAATCATTATTTGGATTTGATTTGAATAAACTCACAAAAGATGGAATAGATAACAGAACGGATGGTTGCGATTTTGGTGTGTAGCAAACAGGGGTGTCTTCTTCTCAGAAGGAGGTGAACTTCAGTGGCCTTCGGCACTGCCTCCTGATTGTACCCAGTCATAGATGACCAAGGGAATGCTCACTAGGGAAAACATTATCCCCAGCGCCAAGAAAAGAGAAGCCTGGAACAAAAAGAAGAGATAGTTAATGAATAAAAAGAAAAGACAATTAATTGAAGTATGTTAACTTCTCCTTTTAAGGAAATTTACAAGGTGATGTATCAAAGTTATCAGATAAAATGGGATAGCACTTCTGGTAAAGACAAGACTCATAGATAATTAAACAGATTAGTGCCATTAATAATTGCTCGCTAAACACCAAAACCAATTTTTTTCTCCTTTCAATTCCCTTCTTAAACACCAAGCCACAAGTGAAATGTGTTTGCTGCCTGTCTGCTTGGAGCAGGAAAGTCTGACCTTACGGTGCTTCCAGTGCATGCCCCACTAGACTGGGAACACACAGGGATGTTGCATGTTTTCAGCTGCAGCTCTTTCTGGGCCTCAGAGGAAATCCTTCCAAGGCCCATTCCCATCTGGTGGAAGCACCCTAAGTCTGACTCGGGTCCACTAAAACCATGAGGAATACCGCAAACAGAATCACAGAATCATAGAATGGTCAGAATTGGAAAGGACCTCTGGAGATCCTCCAGTCCAACCCCGCTGCCCGAGCAGGGTCACCTACAACAGGTTGCGCAGGACGGCATCCAGGTGGGTTTTGAATGTCTCCAGAGTCATAAACTCCACAACCTCTCTGGGCAGCCTGTTCCAGTGCTCTGCCACCCTCTAAGTAAAGAAGTTCCTCCTCATGTTAAGATGGAACTTCCTATATTCAAGTTTATGACCTGTCACTGGGCATCACGGAAAAAAAACCTGTTTCCATCCACCTGTCACCCTCCCTTTAAGTATTTATAAACATTGATAAGGTTCCCCCTCAGTCTTCTTTTCTCCAGACTAAAAAGACCCAAGTCCTTCAGCCTTTCCTCATAAGAAAGATGCTCCAGTCCCCTAATCATCTTTGTAGGAGCACTTTGCGTGCTTTCTGCATCAACATACGGAAACAGAGAAATCTTGCTGCGCTGAAAGGGCTGCCGAAGGGGGCTGGAGGGGTACCCACACCCTGCTGACAGCTACAGCTGCTGCAGAGCTGCCTCTCACCAGCCAGGGGAAAAGCTCCTCACCCCGCAGAGAAGGGCCTCCAAAACACAGGGTGCCTTGTGCGGTACGGCCCCTCCACTGGGCAACCCCCAGGGTAAGCAAAGGAGAAAGGCAAGCACGGCTGCCAGCTGACTGAAGCAGGGATGGAAAGTAACATAAAGAAGCTCACACATACGTTCAGATTAGGTACGCTTTGCACCTAGCACATCATAAGGAATGACAAGACGAAAGCGTTGCATTGATGGGAAAGGAATGCATACCCAAATCCTCTGAGTCAACTTTGATCCATCCTGCTGTGTAATTTTTAAATACAATGATGAAGGAAGAATGAAAATCAGCATATTGGCAGAAGTGACCCCTGCAAAATTCAAATAAATGAGTTTTGTTAGTTGTCAGCAACAGCTAATTATTTTGTTGCTGATTAGCAACAGTTTTTTATTAGTAGTACAAAACCAGGATACTGTACCTACAACTCCGAAAATATCCTTCATGGTTGGGATAAAAATGACTAACAGGTTGATGATAACCAAAAGAACAAAAGTAACCAAAACGTGACGACATAAGTCAAATTTTGTTTTCCTGGCCAGTTCAAATAATGATGAACGCACCTGTAGAAAGAGAGAGAGCTCTCTGTCAGGAACAGTCTATATAAGCCAATTCAAACCTTCCTATGTTTATTGTAACCGGTCCTTCACCTGACAACAAGTGCTGCATAGATATGTCAGAAACTTTGGGATCTCTGATGTAACGCCCTTTGAAATAATTCTTAAAAGTAATGTTATACTTCAAAACTGTAGGTATAAATGCATCCGCAGTAGGATATTCCTCCCTTTCTGACATGCCCTTTGGGGTCCTTTTGCACTTAAAAATGACCTTCACCTCTGAGCTTGCTCCAGTGAAGTCATGTGAAGTAAGAGAGGGCCCTTGCGGATTCAATTTAAAACAGATTCAAGATTGTAACAGATTTGAACAGATAGATTGATTTATTTCCTGCAGGGAGAACTTCTCCAGAAGTTAGTGGGAGTCTGGTGTGGGAAAAGACTGATCCAGGCTCAAGTTCTTTTTGTAGCTGCAATATCAGCTGCTGGACTGTGGTTTGAAGAAACGTGCTGTGTACAGCCATTACCCGTTTCCAAAGCATGTGGAGCTTTTTACTTACAGTGAAAAACAGCACCGGCACCGTGAGTATCACCGCAACGATCACAGCCAAACGCACGGTCAGGATGAGGATGTCATCTTTGCTCTGGTACTTGTGAAGCAGATCTGACTGCACATTGTCTATGGAAAAGACAATAAGATAAGTGTTCTGGCAAACAGGCAATCCGTTCACAAAAATCATTGCTTAACAACAGCCTTCTTGAACAACAAGTGATTTATCTGCAAACAAAAGAGTATGGAATGAAACATTCTTGAGTTAAAACAGCACTCTGAACCAAATCCTAATGATCCCATTATTCCAGATTAATCCTTTGGAGGCCTGATTTAGGAATGCATCCTAATTCAAGACAGCGCATGCCTAAGTCTAAGGTAATTTTCACTGTAGGAAAGACAACAGTGAGACATACATGAAAGCTTGCTTACATATATATGTATATAAAAAAATAAGTAAAGTGAAATATGCTATTTCTAATTTGTTCCATGGGCTTTTTTTTTTAAAGTGTCAAATGATATAAAAATAACCACATGCACTGCAATGGCTGAACTTAATATAAACTACAAGGTTTTGAGCTAAATTAGTCTAAAGAGCAAATAAACTTCCAGCAAAAAAAAAAGCAGTGCCCCTGTTCTCCACCAAGAACAAAGCCTATCTTGGGTCAGCGCTCAGCGGGACGCTCTGACATTTGCACTCAAATCCCTCGGCAGCTCCTCCGAGGGCTGCCCTGATGGTCTTTTTTCTCTTGGACCTACCACCCACCCAGCAGCGCCTGCAGCTCGGCCCCACGCCGGCCAGCGGCCCCAGCAGCCAAGACAAATCGCGGGGGGTGCCTAACGGGGAGGCGCTTGGCGGTATTTTAATACGACCTCCTGCAAAAACGTTTCCTTGAAGCTGTGGTAAATAGCGCAGAGTAGGTCTGCGTGTGCTAACCAACAGGAAAACCGAGCTGCTGAGGGACCTATGTGTTTCCTTCGTAACTTTTAAATATCTAAATATCTAACCGAATGGGGTGGCTGTTAAGCGCGCCACAAAACATACTCACTGCCCCTGTTTAGGCTCATGTTTTGTTTCTGCCTGCTAATCTTAGAAAGCTGGTGGTTAAATGTAACAGCTCTTAAACCAAAGTCCTTAAAGGGAATTTGGCAGCCACGTCTAGTTTAAAATCTTTGGCGCTTGGTAAAACCTCATATATTCCTGGAGGCAGAGATATCTGTCCTGCGGCGAAATGCCTGCGCTCCCCCCAGGACGCCCCTTTTGGGGAGAGACCACGAGTCAACACCACCTATGCAGTGCTCGAATCCCCACCAGGAGAAAGAAAACGCTCTCCCACCTCCCTGCAGATTAGGAGTGGGGTTTTCAAGCCGGGCACATGCACAGCTTCTGCGACACAGAGCTTACTCTGCTCCTGCAAGCACAGACTGCAACTTCTGTACCGCTCACGGACTGCAGCCAGGTAGGAAGTGAAGGGCAAGGCTTACAGTTGAAGGTCTGTTTTCCTTTCAGCTAGATACACCACAGAGCCCAACCACAGTGTGACCTTTTAGGGGAAGAAAAACACCTCTTTTCTGTAATTCTGCAATGTAAATATAGTCATCACTGCAACACTTTCGAGAACACAGCAAACAGACAAGTACTATTGGTGTAAAGAAGAAATGGCCATAATAAAAAAATACTGTTCTTACCCAGGTAAGGGTAGAGCAGTGGGTTAGAAAACTGTAAGCGAGCATATGAAAGATAAGGTCTTGCCAGTCTCAAGGGAATGAAGGATCAAAGTGGAGGAATTTTATATTCCCTCGGTGTCTTTTTTGCTGCCTGGCGTGGCACTGACCCTTGCAGAAGCCCCAGCGGAGCCTCACAGCTTCCACCCGCGGGCTCTCAAGGCTGGGCAGCAGGGACGCCTGACGTGGGGAGAGGCACACGAAACACCCCAGGGATTCCTCCGCCGTTCCCCCTCGGGAGGGCCAGAAGGACGCAGCCCCTACCTCCTCCATGGACTCCAGACCCTCGTCCTTGAGGGGCGTGGGAGATTCCCAGAGAGGAGCGCCACGGATCTGCCTCCTCAGATCCCTGGGGCAATCACATCAGAATCTCCTCCCTGCCAAAGCGAAGGGGTCCGTGCTGATTTACACCCACTTGCTCCCTGGGGCTGCTAATTAGATGCATTTCTACGAAAATGTGTTAGACGGGAGCAGTTGGATGAGAACGGCAGTTGCTGTTGTCACTTGCAGCGTAGTTGCGGTTTTATTGGGAAAATTAGAGCAGATGACCTCAAGTCACTTCAACACATGCAGACTTAAGGCCTCATAATCATAATGAGAGCCTGAGAAAACAAATATGAGATAAGTACACCTTTGGGGGTAAAAAAAAAAAAAAGCCAGATTTCATATTTACTTATTTTCTTTCTCTTGCAATACGTGGCTCACAAGGAACGGTGTCATGAATGAGGAGATTGTAACAAAAAGGTCACTTGGAATAGGATGGAGAAGACTGATGACCTTTTAGTGACTCTGAGGTAAAAGGCAAACATCAGTTTTGTCATCTGTCTCGTAACCCCTTAATGGTCCATAGAAGAAGACACTACTTTTTAACATTCCCATTAGTCTGGAACATGGGAGTAACTTCCTGGGTAACATTCATATTTTATCCTACTTTACTTAATAATTGTCCCTTTAGGGCATACATGTTGTATCCTTTAGTGATACAACATAATGTGCTGCTTTAAGTGAATTGATATGCATGAAAAGAGACAGGGTGCAAGTTTCAAACACTGAAATAGCCAACCGTCGGTGGCTGAACTGGGACAACACTCAAAGCTTCCCCACCTTCACTGCCAGTTTAGTTAACCAAGACTTGAAGGGGTCGGCTCTAGGGACACGGGGGAAACATTTAGTCCTTCGCCTCCATGATGAAAGCATGAGTAAGAAAATGAAAAAGCTGTGATGGCTGATTTGGTATGCATTTCCTAGGACCTGCTCTCAAATCTGTCTCATTTTGTGCAGTTATGCACGCTCCAGTTGTTACCAATGTACACAACATTCAGGTGAGGACCTTGGAATGGAAATCTTAGTGGGGCCCAGCTAATCCCCAGTTCTGTTAAACAACTCTCTCCCTCACATTTTGAATATGCCTTTTGCAAATACTGCTTTCACTTGTGCTTTTCATCCACAGGGGGAAAGGAGGAAAGGATTTGTACCTTCAATATAAAATCTTAACGGAAAATTATTTGAAAAAGGATTTTAATATAAGTGGATGGGACTTTCCTTTCCAGCTGGGATACGCTATTGATTTCACATGTATTCCCTTTCTACTTTGATCAGTAAAGAACTGCATACTTACCGTAGAAAGTCAAATAGCCAAATATGGCAGTCATAAAGTACATCACAAACATGGCAAAAAATGAGATATTTGAAACCAACTGCATTTTTTTCTGTGAACGGCTGGAGAAAGAAGAAAAAAAAGAGCACATAAAAATGGTTGGGTTGGATTTTTCAATAGCTGTTTAAAAATGTATTAAGTCTTTGCATAAACACTGTAATTCTGAGGAAACTCATGAATGCATTTTCATTTAAAGCAGGAGTTCATTGACAGCTGCACAAGGAAGAGAAGGACTGTGGAAATGGACCCTACTTGGGGTTTAAGTCAAGAGATGGTGGGTCCGCCCTGTGGCTCTGCTCCTTGGCCATACCCACCTAAACAGAACGAAGGATGACGCCAAGTGGAGAGGGATGGCCCTTAAACACTTCAGTAATTAAATTAAAAGGCAAAAATAAAGAAAGAGTAAAATTATACACAGGAAAAAAACACATTCTGAATGTTTGCAGAGAAACATTTGTGTGCCCATGGGTAGAACATAATGAATGTATGCAGACCGCTGTAGACCTGTAAAACAGGTTAAGTGTAAACATTTCATTTTTAGATATTTGTTCTGAAATATTCACACTCTGGTACCTAAAGTTAGACTTTTAAAGCCACACAGGGATTCCCTAAATAGGCACCTGGGAACCTGCTGGAGTCTCCTGAAACTCAAAGCATCCAGCAAGTGGCAGGGACCTGAGGGCACCCACAGGTCTGACTGACCCTGACCTCTCCCCTGGGGCTCCTCCCGTGGCCAGGACCCACTTGTGACCCCCCAGAGCCGCCAGTGATGCCACAGCAGGGCTGGTCTCCAGCTCCCCCCAGCCAGAGGTGTCAGCGAGACAGCCATACCGGCAAAGGTCTTTTAATACAGGCAAGCCTGAAAATTCTCTTTTTTTTCTTTTTTTTTTTTCCTGGTACTGCAACAGATTTTTAGTTGCACTGGAACAAACGCTGTTAGCTGAACACACGCCTCTCCCCTATGCCAAATAACGACCGGCACAACTTGGCTCTCCCCAGGCTGCCGTGTACTTCCAGAGAACACTCCCAAAGTATTGCATTATACCCAACCTCCCTCACCCCCGCCCCAGCGCCGTGCCTGGGAGGCCAGATTTCCTAGCTGACAGCCACACTCGTTGGCTTGTTGGGTGTTATTAAAGCACATCTCTTCCGAATGGCATGAATGACTCAGAGCATCTCTGCGCTAACATTTTCCATGCAAAGCGGTTGAAAAAACAATTAACTGGGAAAAAAATAAAAGAGAAAGGCTTACTCTTTAAGTTCGCTGTAAATCGGGAGGACTGACGGGTGGCACACAAATGCAAAAGCAATGGTGGGCAAAGCATACACGGTCTGTTTGGAGAGAATTTCAGAAAAGAAGTTAAGAAGAAGTATTTCCCCCAGTGGCATGAAGAAATGATCCGTGTTGAACTACCTCAGCTCCCAACTCTCTGAACTCTTCAACCGAATGTTGAGAGCCTTCAGAGAAGGCAGCAGACCTGTCAATTAGCACATATTTAATGAAATATGTAGAGCAGCGCTCTTTCAACAAGAGGACAAAGTCTTTGCGTTGGTCATGCGAGCATGGTCCTGACTCTGCTCGCAGAGCGCAGTGCTGGATGCCACATGGCTGCTGGCTTTTGCTCCCTGGGATGAGTTTCCCTGCCCAGCTACTGCCACCATTACTAGCACACTGTCACACGTAAAAGGGACGTACGGTGGGTCACCGCTACACTACCCTGCCTTGGCACGGAGAGGGGTGCGCACCCGTGGTGCTAAGGCTGAAGTCCTGAAGAGGAAGCCCATATCCAGACTGTAAGAAAAGAGAAGAGGAGTGCAGAACTTACAAATAAATGGATATTTCAAGGTACCAGACTGAGTCCCTTCATTTCCCAGGCCAACAAAAGGGCTAGGAGGGCTGTGGAGGGAGCATGCTTTTCCTTGGGGAAAGAGAGAGACTGTTACGTCACCAGGAAGCACAGGAGGCCTCTGGGGGGGACCTCACCCCCTTCTCCACCAAAAACCTGAGTGGGTTTCAGTCCTCAGCGTACAGCCAAACTTCATAAATGATCTCAGCACCCAAGCACTTCCATTCTCCCCAGAGAAAGGGTACGAGCAGAAATCACAAGAAAAACAGGTCCTTCTTCAAGGACCAAATGAGTCTATCCCTACATGCAGCTCTCCCTGGCTCTCTGAGATCTGCTTGCACTGGCCACAGGCATCTCCTTCCCACAGAAGTCATCCTGGGGTATGCCCCAGGCCCGATAGATTCAGAAAATACATTGGTTTCTCTCCAGCAGTCCCTCCTCACCCAGGTCTGTGCCACTTCCTCTTCCTGACTCACAGCACTCTACTGTTGTGGGGTCTCCATCTGTGGCGATATTCAGAAATTCCTGGATGTGGTGCTGGGGAACTGACTCTAGGTGGCCCTGCTTGAGCAGGGGGGTTGGACCAGGTGACCTCCAGGGGCCCCTGTCAACCTCAGCTGTACTCTGATTCTGTGAAACTGTCTCTCCTCTCACACGCAAAAGTTGCTAAGTTGATTGCCCTGAGCGCAAATCTCTAGAGTTCAGCTCCAGCGTCCCTAATTGAGATGGACCAATCCTTCCAATGTGCCTCCACATCGACTCTGAGGCAAATGCTGACACTTACTGTAGGAGAAGACGACTTCCCTTTGACGCTATCTGAAATATACCTACCCCTAAGCTGCTATACGCACCAAGTTAACTAATTCTTGGTCCATCACACCAGATCTGGGCTGATGGCTACCCCCAACTAAAGAACAGTGCTCAGATTGGCTTCTTCAACCAAAGTTGGTACTGTGAATTTAAAAAAAAAAAAAATTTTGCCTGCATATGCTATACATTTGCATTCCCTATGGTTGCGACTGTGACACCCCGAGGACCCTGCCCCACTGAGTAAGGTCCTCTTTAAAGAGCACTGCGCCCCAGCACAGCTGACAGGAGTGATCCTCCTGCTCCCACAGCTACAGCCAGTTGCTCTTTTGCATTCTCTTGGCACAACTTTTCTTGCAGCTGTGCGGCGATGGAGGAAAGCATCCAGCTGAAAGGCAATCAAATTTTTGCTGGATTAGCTTTCAACTGTATCCTTTTTGCAATCCAGTTCACCATATGGCTACAGAAACATGTACCCTGTCACAAAGAAGCCGTTTGTTTGCAGAAGGGCAGAGGGATTGCTTTTGGGTTTTGGATGCAGGAATGGCTTACTCAGCCTCTGCTGAACTGCAGCCTCAAGGTGCAGTTACAGCATGGACAGTAAGAAGCAGTGGAAAAGAAAACTCTCCCAAAGAAAGCATTAGTTGTTCAGTGGTAGCTTGGGCTCACAGCCTTAGCACATCTACTACCGGGGCAGAGCAAGACCACATGGAAGTACATTCAACATGGCGTCTCCATAAGGGTGGGCAAGGAGAGCTGTTGTGCGTTCACCATTGGAGCACCAGTGGAAGCATGGGAGAATCAGGCCCTACATGGTGCTGACCAGATTAAGAACACGAGGTGTAGGTGCATATATTATGGGAATGAAAAATAAGTATTATAAAAAGAAACATACCTTGGAATTAAAGATAACATACTTTGGCTTACACATATGTTCATGTGCTGAGCTATTTGATAGGATAGGTGATGTTGCATTTAGCTCCGATCCGCCACAGGGAATTTGAAACTTCTTGTAAATAACCTAGAATGAGAGTGGAAGACATCTAATTGCTAAAAATAATTTTTAAAAGGCAAATTAAAATTATAACATCGGAGAAAATGTGAATTTCCTATCAAGTAACACTCATCCGACAAAGCTTCTCATCCAAACTTTCTCATCCAACAAAGAAAGCAAGCTGAACTTACCACTATCAGGAAAAATACCATGCAGCTTAATGAAAATCCACTGGTATAGCCCAGATACCCTGAAACAAATTAAAAGGAAATATACAAAGTTATTTTATTAGCCATATCTTGGTTTTTACTTTTTGTTGCTTCATGAAAAGCTTAAATGTATCATATATTTAGTATTTATCATGAGCTTCTGGGCAGGACAAAAACACATCCTGTTGGTGTGGGAGTCTCCCACATGGCAAACCTCCCAGATTTCAGACAGACCTGAGCTTTGCTCTGACTGGTTTGACTTTACAGCAGTTTAACTAATTTTACTTTTGAAAGGGGCTGTGATAATTGAAACAAACCTGAAAACTTGCAATTGCAATCAGAATGTGACCCAGATTCCCTGATATGAGCCACCTCAGCTGAGTATGAGTTATTTTCTCAAAAGGAAGATCCCAACAGGACTTCAGTGACGGAACTTGTCACATGGTTTTAAAAAATACATTTTGTACCTACTGGCATCTCTGTGGACTCAAGCACATTTGAAAATGCAATCCTCTATACATATCTTCCTTCCAAGTCCAATATCTCCAATTAACCTCACCACTAAAAATTTCAATGCTGATGATAGAAAAATAAGTTGGTTTTTGTAATCTCACAATTTGTGAACTTATTTTTAGAGGCTACACATAAAATAGGATTGCTTTATGAAATGAAGATCCTCTTAACCATAATTTTTCAAATCAGTTTCCACAATTGTGAGGATGAAGCTGGTTTATACTGAGTTCAACTGCTCTGACACTTTAGGCCTACTTGTTCCAAGATGCTCAAAACACAGCTTCTTCCTGGACCAGAGAGACTGCATAGATTACAATAAGAGCACTTTTTTTAAAAAAATATTTGAGTTGCCAGTGTGGCTGTGAGTAGCATGATGTCTGGGATCCTTTATTTTATTCCCACAATAGCATTTGCATCTTACCTAAGTTCTTAAGGAGACATAAAGGGAGGATTATACCAAACGTCACTGTGACAACAAGAAGCCGCCCATCCACGTACCATGCCCTGTATAAAACATTAAAAAAAACCCCACCATGAGCACACCTTAAACCCTCTCTGGTTTTCCTCATACTCAGTCATCCTCTTTGATTGCTGCAGTTACAGAACTGTCTTTGGTCTCCTTACCCTACAAGCTCCTACAAAAGGAGGGACGGGGGCCACATCTCAACTTTGTAGGCTCATTAAGTATCCAGCCCTTAAAACATGGCCCTGCTCTGACTCAGATACGGCAGCTTTTCGTGGCCGCTAGACAAAGTATCACCCTACTGCTGAGATGAGTGAGTGGGACTGAGAGGCAGAACAGCACCCTCCGTAAGCTGGTATAAGCCGCTCTGCCACACATACAGCAGAGTGTGCCCACAGGGGCCACCACGATTCATTTGCTAAACCATGTGGGCACATGCCTGGAGCAGCAAACCAGGCTCCTGCGGGCTGGCACGCACTAAGCCTGCCCAAGGCTGTATCTCCTTCTAGCAAAGTGTTTTGAATCCTGCTGGAAAGCAAGAAAGGGGAGAAGAGACAGCATTAGTGACGTTCTGTACAACCTATTTCCACTGCTTGGCTCAATTTAGTATGAAAGCCTAAGGAATGACGTCTCTACCTTCCCACGTCCTACAGCACACCATATAACCCAGTGCAAAGGATATTTCCCACTATCAAGAAATACCGTCCCTCTGTTAAGGAAGCTGGAAAACGTCAAGGAGTGATCAAGTGGCAGAAATCTAAGTATATCATACTGCTATTGTCATATGCTAGTATTGAAGAATTTCATACTATGGACAGTGCTTTAGGGGCAAAATCCCGTAAGATGCTAAGAATGCAGGGAAATACCTAATATCTTACACTCGCATTGTTCGCAATATTTTCCAAGTGTCGCCTAACACTGTAAAAGATTGGATCCTATGGTAAGAGGTTTGTATAAATCACAATTCTTCATGAAATTCTGGTGTGCAAAGAGAGTAACTACTGATCACTTAACCTTTCATTTCCTATCCAGTCTCTTTTCCTTCCCAAAGTTGTCTTGTTTTTTATCAATCCCCTGAAATATTTCTGTGGAAATCTACTTTGACAAACCTAAAGAATATCCAATACTTAAAAGGTTTTATAAACATATGCTTAAGCTTATGTTAGCAGTTAAATTCTATGATCTAATCACCAAAATTAATTCAACTTACGAAAAAGATTCTTCTTTTCCCATTAGAAACTTTATGGCAGAAGGCAGCTCATTTTTGACTATGAAGAGATAGCTCAACATAGCTGGAGGAAGAAGAAAGTCAGTTTAGAAAATGGGTGAGATATTTTGCTGAACAAGTACAGAGAAACATCCTGAACCTTTTCCCACATCAGCATCTAATGATAGAAGACTGCAAACTATAATTGACTGTAAACTACTGATCATTCGGTAATGCAGCATTTTCAAAGGGCTGCATGCAAAGTGTTAGCCACAGCAATATCGAGGAGCATGAAGATCCCAAGATGGCCCTGAGAGAAGGAGGAACCTGACTGGTCGGTAGCCGTAACATTATTAAGACGTTCCTGGGTTTTGTTTTTCAATAACCCTCATCTCCTTTACCTCCAACGTTCTGGAGAGATGTAGATCCAAAGACAATCATTTTCCCTGGGGTACCGAAGACCTGCTCACCCAGCTTTTCATACACCATGCAGCCTGCATGAAAAGAAACAAGGAGAAAGGTAACAACTACGCCAGTGAAAGCTGTTGAGTCAAAACACTTCTGATTCCTTTTCAGCTAACCACCCATCTGTGCAGCCACATCTGCTCTTTGCAAGTAAATAGAGAGCTCTCTTGTAATTACTGGGGCCGAAACTTATGTAGGAATGTTTTCTTGACGTCTATAAATGTTATCATTGGCCACCAGTCACTTTTGAAATTGAAGTTCTTATTGAGGCTATTACACCCCTTTAATGAGTTTGTCTATACCCCTAGCGACATGTTAAGTTCTGGTATCCCCATCCTGGCGTATTAGGTTTGCACCCGCAATGAGAGTGACGTAGAAAGCCTCCTCTCCAGACAAGGCTCAGTACAGCAGGACCCACGAGTCAGCACTGGCAGCCTGGCCCCAGCAGACACAGTACCGCGATTCTGCAATTTCGCTTGCTTTGATTAAGCAATCCAAATGAGGGCAGCCACTGGTTTACAGGATGATTTACAATTTCTAATGACGAAGCCTGAACTTGTGAATTCTCACTGTGGTATGTTTTTGGTAAAAGCAGGGCAAAGTGTAAATTGTAACTAAAACTTCTTTTTAAATATCTGTCAAGCTTGAGAAACTCCTCTATTAATTGGTTTGTGTTTCTGTTAAATGTTTTTTCCCTTGGCTGTGATTTAGGCTGTGAAAAAGACTGGACATTGTGAAGATGGTGAGATACATGAGAAAAGAAGGAGAAATATTGCGGATGTTACACTGTACAGATGATTTTTAAAATGCATCCCATTGTTTGGTTTTCTCTATATTTCCTTATAGCTGACATTTCTGCTTTGAAGCTTGTATAAACAATAAGTTTGAGCTTAAATGTACCAGCAGCATAGAAACCAGGGCTTAGATTTTGGGAACTAACAGGGCACAAATGTGTCCACAATTAGGCATAGATACCTAATTAAAATAGGCAGTTGGTGCCATTGTACATGCTATAACAGTAACTCATGTGTGTCCAAACTACATATTAAAATATTACAGTGTTTTTGTGCACAGATAATTTAAAAAACCTGGCTTCAGAGATTGTTACCCAATCTTGGTAACAGACTCTTGGACTTCAGAGAGACTCTTGGATTTCAGAGCACAGTGATGTTTAACACTGTGGGTGACTTCTAATTTCTGTTTTTAGGATATACTCTGCTTACAGTTAGACTTCTCTCTGTGGAGGAACTGTTCCCTTTTATTTTCTTCTAGGAAACCTCCTACTACACCAAGACGACTATCAGAAATTTCACACTAACCATTAAGGACAAACTGCATTTCCAGGTAAGCTTCACCATAGGCAAAGATTCATTCTATTTCATTTGCAATTGGTTTTGTAATGCAAAGAAACTATATGAGCTGTTCCTTGCAGCTCACTGAAGACAATATTTCACGGTAGCGGAATTCACTTTTTGTCGTAAGTTTTTCTCTTTATAGTGATGGTCAGATGCTCTTCTCCATTGCCATGATGTAAATTCTTGTGAATCCTGGGTTTCTGACCCAAAATGTGTTAGGCCTGTCTATTGTGTCAGCAAAGTGGTAGAAATTCTGTCTTACACAAAGCACCTGGCCTTATTTGAGCACTTTTCACCTCTTGCTCTTTACAATTCTACTAAAATGGTATAGTAACATCTTAAATTACCTGTTTCCTTTGAACACACCAACAGGAGATATATTGAATAAATAGACAGCAGTGTCACTGAAACCAAAAGCAGCCTACAAAAGAATGGAAAACAAAGCTTACTGTGAGAGCTGAGCTCTAACATTGCAATATTTCACATCAGGTCATATTCCCATTGACTCCGAGATAACTTTTATAGTCTTCTGGCAATGCAAAAAGCCCTAAAAATACATGTCATTCACATGCTTTTTTTGCAGTCCCACCACACCATGGTGGAGGTCGAGAGCCCTACATGGAGAGGGATTCAACCAAGTAGAACTTAGCAGAGCTGCAGAGCGCAGCCTGTTAGTGAGTTGCATCTTCCCATATTGAAAGAAGCAAGAATAAAAGTGTTTTTTTCAGATAGGAATTAAGATGTAGTCAGATGAGCCAGGTATGTCCCTCATCAGCCACTCTCAAGATTTTTTTTCTGGAAGCAGAGTAAAAATTGCAAAGCGATGCCCTCTGTTTAAAGACTTCCATACCAAATGGAAGCATCTTTTCCCCAGACATGTTTTATATGCTACCAAAGGGGCGCCCAAATGGCTTTTTATGTGTGTCCCTGTGCCCAAGGAGCAGGGAGAGGAGGGAAGTTAAGGCTTGATGGGCTTCCCTTGGGAGTAAGGCAGAAACCAAGGGCTTATACTTTGTCCAGGTGGGGACTGGTGTTCCCTCACTGATGTCACTCCTGGTCTGCTGTGATCCATAATTTGACTTCACATAGAAGAATTGCAGGAAGTAATGACCAATCTGTTTGTGCAGGGAACTTGCTGGCACAGATGATAATTAGTCAGTGCTGGGGGCTAAGTGCATAAAAACACATTTGTTCATTGCTCTATGTCTTTAAGCCAAGCACCATGTGTGCCTTCCTCTCCAACACTCTGACACACAAAGACCTGATGATGTTTTCATGATGTGTGTGAAGAGCACTCGGACAATCTGTTGGCAATTCCTCTCTTTATTATGACAACTACCCTCAGGACACCGAGAAAAACAAGCCTAAAATTTAACAGAAAACAAGCTGCCATCACAGATAGGCAGCAACACATCTTTTTCATAGGAATATATAGAAAGAATAGGATGAGAAGCCTCTTCCCTCCCCTTTTTTATTGTTTTAGATTAGAAATACTTTACTGCCAAATAATGACCCACAGGTTTCTTGGGGCCGGAGGAACAGGGAGAAACATAAAGAGGTGACAGGAGAAACTGCTGTTTTGCCAGCAGAGAATGATGGTTGACAATAACAACACACTCTTTGTACAGCCCAAAGGGTGTTGTTGCTCCTTGGGGAGGTGGGGAAGGGAAGGGAGATTGTACTGGCTGAGGTCACTCTGCTCCATTTTTTACAGATTCGCTAAGCTTTGCTTCTGCCTGCGTTCCCTGCAGAGCTGCCAAGCCCCTGTCTGCCTGGAGGCACGGTCCTTGCAGCTCCTGATGCTGGGCTGCTGGGCTGACTCACTCCCAGCCCCAAATGGCTCTGGCTCCACATGCCAGCATCCAGTCTATTTTAATATTAAAAGCTCCCGGTTTTCAGGCACTGAGCTCATGGAGTCTTTGCAGCGGTAAAAATAACACTCCCGAGCAGCCAGGTATTTATCTGATCTGTTGTCCTTAGCTCCCCATAGGGTTCTTACAGAGACACTTGGCATTTTCATTAGCGCTGTATGAAAAACTTGTTTGTATTAGGACTGTGGTATGGACAGGGATATTTGTGCCAGAACCACCCCTTGGAAAGGAACGAAAATGTCTGTGCCACTCGCTCTGCACAAATTCAAAACAGAAGCAGGGGAGCTTGCGCTGCAGTCCCAAAAGCACTCCCCTACTTCTTATTTTGCCTGCTTTTAAAGAAGTGCTGGCAGCTACGTGAGCAACCGGCACATGCAAAAGTCACCTTCCCCCGGCAAATCCAGATTAAACAGTTTAGGGCAGGGGACTGAAACAGTGCTGGGAAGAACAAACTGTTCCTGCGATGCCACTGCTGTTTGCTCCCAGCTGCCGCGTTACCAGGTCAGCTGCAACACGTGCTGTCCCCAGCCCTCCGCAGAGTCCCAGGCTTTGGTGCCAGAAGACCTGCGAGGCTTGAGCAGTCGCCTGCCTTATTGCACGGAACGGCTCTGAACCCTCATGATGTATCATCGGGTGCAGAAAAGCATGGCAGAGCGCAGGGGTTTGCCACTGTAGGGCCTCCCAGAGGGCTGGTCTGCCAGCCTGCCCCGAATCACTGGAGGAGTTAGGCTGCGGCTTCATGACTGCTTCCAGCCAACCCTAGCAGAAGCTGCTGCAGAAAGCAGTGTGCAACTTCAGTTGTAGTCTTACACTATACCTCATCTAACAAACCCCTCTGCCTCAGCAGGGTTTTTCAGATCGTATGCAGTGCCGGGCTAAAAGCAGGCTGAAGGCACCTTGCACTTGGCTGGCCCGTATGTCTCTGCAATGACATCCATCACTCTGGTCCTGGCTCTCCAGGATGAAACCACAGGCAGTAATGAGTGCTTCTGACACCCCTAGATGTCCTGGCCCATCTCTAACTCCCTAAGCCTTTTTTGCCACCTTTCTGCAGCAAGGTTTTCTCCCCTTTTGCATACTTCTTTGGTTAGGCTGTAGTTACCAACAATACTGGGATTAAGTTACTCTGAGTTCCTACCTCAGTTGTTTTGCCTAGAAAGCATGACACTGTGCTATGGAGCTAAGTTACGCAAATAGGATGTGAGAGTATATACTCATTGCCATGTTTATTTTGCACGTCTTATGCCAAGAATATAGGATCTGAACTGCTCCAGGTGTGTGTGGAGGGACACACTTCACACTGCAGGAGCCTAAAACTTTTGAGAGAGGCAATCAGGCCAGTTCTGCTTTGTTAGTGCTGAAATTGCTCCTTTAATTATTTTTTTCCGCCTCTACTTTCTACTTTTCAGAGATGGTGCATGCCAATACTGGACAAAGCAACCTAGAAACTTTCCAGAACTGTGCTACTCGAGCAATGAATGCAAGTGCTTCCTCATGTGCAAAAAGCAATGAAACTATTGCTGGGACTCTATCTTTAATCACTTGTAAAGCAGAAATTGTTCTAAGATCTACCTCTGATAGCGACAGCAGAACTATACATTCATGGGAAAAATGCACTGAATGAGAGTGTGAGAAAAAATCTAACTCTGAAAGACTAGGTTTAACTCTGAGATTATTGCATAGAAAAAGAACATTAAAAGCAGTTCAACTTTCAGCCGTAACTACAGACACCACATTAGGATCCTGCATCTCCATGCTTCAAAGGGGAAAGCTCTGCTAGCCTGGTCAGTTGGGTCCTGCTAGCTTCCTTACCTTTGATCTCAGCGGGCTGGTCTATCTCCAAGCCAACAGATCTAAAGGCATTATAAAGCTAACAAAAACAATTATTCACTTTTAAATACACACAGTTAATTCTGTAGAGAGTAATGCTGTTATTTACTGCACAAAATCTCTACATTCAGGTTTGGTAGTTTTTTTGTACAGTGTGGTGGTACAGATTTACACACTTACTACTCAGCCCAGTCACCATCACATGTTGTTAGAAGTTTCTCTGATGTTCACATCACTGGTCTGATCTACTCCACTTAAAAGAAACTGCATTTTTGGATGCAAACACATTTCACTTAACTCTCATGAAAAACTGCTGGAAGAATGAGAGAGGATGAGGTTATAGAAAACTAAAGCAGTAAGGAGAAATTGAGGGTGCTCCTTGGGTGAGACAGTATTATCACAGAAGAGGTAACAAGGCTGAAGAGAGGTAACTTTGGGTTTTTTTCCTGGTTACAGCAGTTTTTGCAACCACCAGTCTGTGCTCTCAGAGGTGTGCTTGTCAGAGCACAGGTGGAGTATCACGTACAGGTTAGAGTACTGGATTAAAAAAAGCAGCAAAAATAAAATAACCTCAGTCCCTCTGCGTAAGAAAGACCTAAATTATATAGAGTCCGGCTACTTTATAGCCTAGCTTGGAGACAACACAGTTATGATGCTTTGTACATTCTTACTGTAAATGGATTGACTCCTTGTATTATTCCTAGATTTTACTCAGCCACAGAAAATTGTAAGCTAGCAGCATGGATGTAGCCATCTTGGCACAAAACCCCAGAGCAGATGGCTATATGTACCATTTTGACCATCCACTCTGCTATACACAGGGGTTCATATTATATATTTCCCCAAACCCTAAGAAATAACAGAAGTTCTAGATTTTTACATTTGGCATTCAAGAAATGATGCCTCTTTAGAGTAATCTGTAAACTCAATAACTCTGTTGAACAGTTCTCAAAGATTGTAAATTATTGTATTTCTTCCCTCAATGAACATTTATCACTGAAATCTGCACACAATTCCCAACTGATTTCTTAACAATCACTTTTCACAATGAAACGTCTCATGCTGCAATCCAAAATAATGCAGAACACCACTGTGTCTTACTCATTTACTGGCACCGTTTCATTTTTAAACTATAAAATTCTCCTTTACAAAATGCCTCTTTTTTTTTTCTGGAGTTAAGTACTCTACCTCAACTCTTTTTTAATGCTAAAATCTTGGCTATATTTATGTTGGCTCTCAAGGACTCTCACGTAAGAAACTGAAGAAACTGTGGGAGTGAGATGAAAATATTATATGTAACATATAAAGGAATATAAATATTCTTTTTCTTGATTAAAAAAAAAAGTAGTTATTGCACCATGCTTTGATGAATGCTGTAGAGATCCTGTGACACAAGTAAGAACTAGGTACTATCCCACTGCAACTATTACAACTGAATATTTACAATGTATGTGTAGCTTATGGACCATAGGAAAAATCCCTGGCTAGGCTGAGGTCAGTAGTAAATAACATGGACTTAATTTGCTCTAACATTGCAAGCAGTGGCTTTTCCCCCCACCAAAAAAATTGACTGAAAAAAAAAAGTCCAAAACTTGTAGCTAGTGTTTTCAGGCTCGAATGTTGTACATGATTACAGATGGACTATAAATTCCTCTGCTTGCTAGCAGCACACGTGTTCTTTAAACGCAGTGAAACTGCACAGAGATCAGCTACTCACCACAGCAATACTTACAGAAAAAGGAGAATTCCTGTGTTGGCCAAGGCAAAAGCAAGACCCAAAATCCCACTGCCCATAATCGCGTTGCTGAGGTTGAAGACGGACATCCCCAGGGAAGTAGTTCCTGGGATCTGGAGAAGTAAATACAGACGTGTCAGCAACAGCTTGGCACAGAGCAGGGAACCGCATCTATGCTTCAAACTCCATCTTTTGCTATATATCAGATATAAGTAACTACTGCTATGGAAACAACTTAATAAAAATTGGTTTGGAAGAGGAAAAAGTGTTGCTGAACCCTGTCACAGCTACACTCTGATCGCTGTCCTATAGATTCTGTAAACTGACATAAAAGGTATAGGCAATACAAAACTCATAGTACACTTTCAATTTTAAACCCCATCTTTCACTATGCCTGTGTAACATCTTAGGCACGTGATTTATATATTGTAGGTCATAAGGAACCACCAGGACTCCCTGCCTAACACATCCCAGAGGGATTCCCTTGCCCAAATCCTGAGGGATTTGGTCCCTTGACCAAAATGCTTGGGGGGTTTGGTTTGTTTTTTTTTTTTTTAAGTGCTGAGCACAGGCAGCTTTTACTGGAACCTGAATTTCAGTTATAATTGTATGTGCCCAGCACTTTTGAAGACCATGTCTAAAGGCCCTTCATATATGCAACATACAGTTCATTTTGACAGGGAAAAGAACAGCAAGAGGGACTTACATATTCATCGCATTTCTTCTTCTCCAGGTGACTGTTTGTGAGACTTCTTCTGCTTTCTCGATCCGAAATAAACTTGCTGAAAGAATTCAGAGAATTTATTTCCAGCACGTGTTTAGAAAATGCAAACACATTTATTCTATGAGCAGCATGTGATTACAAAATATGTAACGTATAAAAACTGTATGCAAAAAGAGGTCAAACACAACTATTTAATGAGCCAGATTATGCTTCACTGATACCAGCAGACACTGGGCACCAATAAAGGTAACACTCGCACAAGATCAGAATAAATGTATATATACAGAATGGTCTTTTAGGAGATTTAGTAAAGCAGCAACACCAATTTTGTGGAAGGGAAAGTAATTTGTTTGCACAGACACTAAGAGCAGATACTTCTCCAGATGTCCTGCAGAGGTGTGTGTGACCGGTAGCCCCTGCTCCTGTGGTTAGCATGATAACACCACTTTATAAGGCAAGCAGCTGTTTTCTGTGACTGAGCAGGTGGTGTATTCATTCCCTTTCCCTCATTATCAGGTCCTGAAGGTCCTGTGAACCAAGTAGACAAACCAAGCAGTTTTCTCTTCCCCTCCCTACTGGCCTCAAGACTCCTGGGCGCCAGCCCAATTACTCCCTTCCTTGCCAGCCTTGAAGGCACCAGGCATCTGGCCCACCAGGAGGTGGTGATGACCCCCTCACAGAAGAGGGAAGCCTAACAGCACCCAGAGCACTGTCCATAAAATCAAGCAGTTACAAATCCTAAGTGGGGAACTTGCACCAGAGCTGCTGCCGGACAGTGACACCCAGGACCCCCCGGTCACCAGGGACACCCCCACCATCCTCTGTTTCCTCTGAGCATTGGGAGAATGACTCATATTCTTTTATATGATTTTCAAGTCTAGGTCATATTCTAGATTCTAGTCTAGACCCGCCATGCGTTGGGGCAATCCCAAGCACAAATACAGGCTGGGTGGAGAACGGATCGAGAGCAGCCCTGAGCAGAAGGACTTGGGGGTGTTGGTTGAAGAGAAGCTCAACATGAGCTGGCAATGTGTGCTTGCAGCCCAGAAAGCCAACTGCATCCTGGGCTGCATCAAAAGAAACGTGGACGGCAGGTCGAGGGAGGTGATTCTGCCCCTCTACTCTGGTGTGGTGAGACCCCACCTGGAGTATTGCACCCAGCTTTGGATCTCCCAACATAAGGACATGGACCTGCTGGAGCGAGTCTGGAGGAGGGCCACAAAGATGATCCAAGGGCTGGAGCACCTCTCCTATAAAGACAAGCTGAGAGAGTTGGGGTTGTTCAGCCTGGAGAAGAGAAGGCTCCGGGGAGACCTTATAGCAGTCTTCCAGTACTTAAAGGGGGCCTACAGAAAAGATGGGGAGGGATTCTTTATCAGGGGGTGTAGTGATAGGATGAGGGATAACGGTTTTAAACTGGAAGAGGGTAGATCTAGATCAGATATTAAGAAGGAATTCTTTACTCTGAGGGTGATGAGAGGCTGGAACAGGTTGTCTGAAGAAGTTGTGGATGCCCCATCCCTGGAAGTGTTCAAGGCCAGGCTGGATGGGGCTTTGAGCAACCTGGTCTAGTGATAGGTGTCCCTGCCCATGGCAGGGGGGTTGGAACTATGACAGAATCACGGAATCTTCAGAGCTGGAAGGGACCTCTAGAGATCACCTAGTCTGACTCCCCTGCAGGATTGCCTAGAGCACATTACTCAGGACTGCACCTAGGTGGGTCTTGAAAATCTCCAGAGAAGGGGACTCCACAACCTCCCTGGGCAGCCTGTGCCAGTGCTCTGTCACCCAAACTGTAAAGAAGTTTTTCCGTGTATTTGAACGGAACTTCCTATGTTCCAACTTGTGCCCATTGTGACTCGTCCTGTCACTGGGAACCATTGAACAGAGTTTGGCTCCATCCTCTTTCAACCCACCCTTCAGATACTTGTATGCCATAATAAGGTCTACTCTCAACCTTCTCTTCTCCAGGCTATACAGTCCCAGCTCTCTCAGCCTTTCCTCATAAGGGAGATGTTCCAATCCCTCAATCATCTTAGTTGCCTTTTGCAGGACTCACTCCAGCAGTTGCCTGTCCCTCTTGAACTGGGGACCCCAAAACTGGACACAGTATTCCAGTTGTGGCCTCACCAGTGCAGAGCAGAAGGGGAGAATGACCTCCCTCGACCTACTGGCCACATTCTTCCCTATGCAACCCAGGATTCCATTAGCCTTTTTGGCCAACTAGATGATCTTTAAGGTCCTTTCCATTGCAAACCATTCTAGTTCTATGATTCTATGATTATGATTGTTATACTGATACAGCAAACCATGTATTAAGATTTGATCTGATCTGCAGAGGGTCCAGTTGATTAGAAATCGTGTTAAGTTGCATTATAAATTCTGTATTGTATCATCGTACTATGTTGATTCTGCTTGTAGAAATCCTGTGCCATTCTAATCATAAGTTCTGTCCTACACTAATCATAATATTGTTAAGAAAATAAAGCTTTAATTATGATTTAGTGCCGTCATCATTCTGCCAAGAATCTCTAAAAGACTCTGTCTGTCTTCTCACTGTCAGTGACACTATGGCACCCTGCGAATCCCTAAATTGCCACTGTAGGGTCAGTATGGCTGGAGTTAAGAGGAGGAAAAGGTGCTGTATGCAGCCAGCACTGGCTGGACCATCCTGAACCATGCGATGTGTTCTGGGCTGCCAGATTTTCATTTAAGTGTCTTTCAAAAGCCAATACCGAATTCACCATACTGCAGAATTAAACACTTCTATGCAGGGAAACACAGAATAAATAGCTTTTCTTTCTCTGCACCCTTTACTTGTTCTATGTCCTTGATATATCCACATTTAGGAACTTACTGTCACCAGAGCAAGATTTGCCTCCTGTGGCTGTGTCGGTATCCTTGGGATTTACAACACTTCTGATTTGGATGACCTCTTATTTTCTCCCACATCCTCTCTTCAGCAAACATTTTAGTTTGTATAAAACATTCTTTCGGCTTTTCATCTTTTGAAGGCTTATGCACAATTAAGTCCCTGGCATCTTCGTTAATCCACAGATAGTTCTTAGGCTGCACTGACTAATGCATCAGCCATTGCACATGCTACATACCTAACCAGGGGCTGTCACCAAGTGTCAGAGACCCTTTTTGCTGTAGGTAAATTAAGGTGGCTTTTCTTAAATTAAAATAGACAAACAATACGCTGAACACATAGAGAGCACTGCTGATCCTTTCCCACAGCTGGGAATGTCTACTGGCCGGGGATGTACGATTCAAACTGTGACTCAAGACTGTGCATCATTTGAGTACCTCCAGTGGTATTCAGGCTGGTAATATAACCATGAACTCATAGAGACAGATCTCTATCAAACTTCCCTACTACCCTGGTTGTGGCCAAATTTCTAGTAATATATGCTAGCGCAGCTTCTAAGTGTATGCCAAAATCATGCAGTTGTAATGCTGCTGACTTGGCTTCCACAGCTGACACACTGGGCCCTGTGTCTTTAACATTTTGTGTGCTACATACACATTTTGAGTTTATCCCTTAAATCCAGGCATAGCTGTCAAAACATATATATCATTTTTGCTGGTTTTGTTGCAACTTTGACTCCTACCCATTGGTCTGCTTTGAATTCCTTTATATCAATAAAAAACAGCTATAGGTTTGTCCTATATTTTTTAAACTACTAACTTCAGCAACTAATTTGCCGCACCGTGCTGGCTTTACCAGCCCTGATGCAGTGGGAATAGATGGCTGCACCTCCCCCACTGTTTTAAGAAGTGAAAAGCAACCACTTCTAAGATAGACTGATCCAAAATTAACTTTCCAAAACTCACCATGTAGGTATTTCATCCTCACAGAATAAAATCTCAACCTGATTCAGAGCGCGTGCTTTTTTTTTTTCATGTCTGTTTAAAGCCCATCTCTTGAACGCAGGCAGCAGAGTGTGAACAGTTTGAAAAAGACATTCCAGCTCTCTCTCGAAACACCCTGCAGGCAATTTGTACAGGCAGGAGCACAGAGAAGAGTTTTGTCTCTTTTGGATTTGTAAATGCTGCTGGGAACATCTGTGGACTTTGCCTTCTTCTGTCACTTATGGAGACCATGTGTCATTTCAAATTTTGTCAGAGTTATGATAGAAGTAACTACTCTGCTCCCCCCACTTCTCCACATCCCTCTGCAGCCAGTCCTCCTTTAATAATTACAAAAATAACAAGTTTGTAGATACTATTATCATTGCCACCTGGTACTAAAGTTCAATGAAAATTATTGTTAATGAACAAACACATGTTAAAGACAACACTTGAGTAATATTGCTTGAATGTAAAGCGACTGTGGGACTTTCCATTAGAATACTTTTGACAGAGTGAACAGCTTCAGCAGAACTGGTATCTTCTGCGGCCAACAAACACATTATTTCCTTCTGGATGGGACTGGAAGAAAATTAGCCTGATTTGATAAACTGATCCAAAGTACTTTCTTTTGAGTTAGTCTTACATTAAATGGACTGGGCTTGTTGTCCAGCCTCTCATCTGCTATCATAAGCTGGGGTCCTCATCCACCCCACGTTCACTGTATCACACTACACATTTTTCTCCAATTATGCTGTGTGATGTGTACAGGAGGGCAAACTCAGAAATGGGAATGTGGCCATGGGGCTCCCAAATCACACTTTCTATGAGGTATATAACATTATGCCCAGCTTTTTTTTTTTATGGGGTGCTTCCCAGCGCCTGCCTCCCAGCCCCAGGACAGCTTGCCCTGAAAGCTCAGCAGCAATGCAGTGGTGGGGGATGTGGGGTCCGCCTGATCCGGAGGCTGTGCTGCATTTGCTATTGCAGGCAACTTAACCTGCAAGTCCAGACGAGAAGGTTGCCTCGGGACCACGCTCGGTAGGTGGTACAGACATACCATATGACAGCCTAAGTTTTCCATAACTGTAATGTATTACTGAACTTAAATTAAGGAAAAAAAAAATGTAGGGGGAAGGTAGTCCGATGTATTAAACAGAAAGAAGTTTTCCCAAGATCTTTCTTTTTATAAACATTTTTTCATTTCAGGGTGTTTTTTTCCCCCTACAGCATATGAAAGGGAACATACGTTAGAATACTGGAATTTCTAGTTAAACCATGACATGCATCTGCTCTGCTTAATAGATGTGCTTAGAAAACGAGCTATTCATTGTCACAGAATGTTGTATATTTGACCTTTATAAATATGACACGAATGAAGTGAAACGACTGTTGACTCCGGCCTCTCCCAGCCCTCCCAAGGACTAGAGGCCACTGTGACAGGTGCTGTGGAAATGCACAGTAGGACCGTCTGTGCCATCAAAGCCTTGTGACTCCCTGACAAGCATAAAATCCATTTGCGCTGTTTGTTGTCTTCCTTTCAAACACTTTACTCATCATTAAAAGACATAACCTGTTCTTATACGTTTCTGCTTTCCTATTGTGTTTCCTACATCATGGCTGAGTATGAGCAGCTTATACAAAACTTTTCAGATATGTTAATAAAATATCTTGGCCAAAAAATAATCAGCTCTTCCTTGTGATGCATGAAGCCTCACGGATGGCTTGGAAAGAATTTCTTTCATCTAATTCTTTTCCTGGTTTGATTTAGTGCAAAGTAGAAACTTGGTCTTATTGATAAAGTGGTTTTAAAAGGACTGTGTTTAACTATGGTTTCTAAATTTAATTTATTAGAAGACTTAAATGAAAAATGTTTGATTAAGGTGATACCCCCGAGCTAACCAATTTGGCTAAGCAGAGCTAGCCCAAAACCATTTAGCCATCTCAGATATGTTTAAGTGTAATTAAATTAAAGTGATATTTGACAATGCCTTAAACATTTGTTAGGGAAAGCTAGTTTTGCCAAGATGTCAGAAGTTTATCCTTAGGCAGCTTCTTAAACTGAGCTTTAGCCTGAGCAACAGCAAAGATTTCCAGGGCAGGCAGGAACAAGAAATGCAGAAGACACCTTGGTCTGGCTTATACTATGAAATTTGGACCAGCTCTGGGTATACCTACTAACAACCTTCTTAACTGAACAAGGGGTGCTGATAACACTAGTAGCTCTAAACCAAGACAGACATTCAGCCAGCAGCTTCCTGAGAGCATCATTGCAGTTACAGGTGAGAAGTAGGGCGTCTAAATGCTGCCTTACAGTTATGTGCAGAGATGGCAAAGCTTTATAGCCAGGATATGTAGTTAAAAGACACCAAAGCTATGTTTGGATTTGATGCAAGTCTCTTTCTTGACATTCCCAGAAGAAATTCAGCATCTGTGAACAAAGAGAAAACCCTCCCAATACAGTCCCTTCCAAACAACATCCCCTCCCTACATGCAACTGCATGTATAAATGCATATTTAGGCCCAGAACAGGCTGGAAATCCAAAGGAAACCAGAGAATTCTTTTCCAAGACCAAGAAATATTTGGGTCTTAAAACCAAACCTGGACTCAGCTCCTCACTGGTGTGCCTTCCCCAAGAGACCCTTAAAAACGGTGCTCTACATTGAGCTTGAAAAATTATACACTGGGAGAAAAAAAAGGTTTAAAATTAAATACAGAGTGCAAAATCAAGCAGGTTGAAACAACAACAACAAAGTTAGTTGAAAATTACAGATCTAATCTAAAGCTCAAGTGAAATCAACAGAAAAAGTCCCGCTGATTTTGACAGACTTTGGAGTTTCACAAGGCCTCGCACCGTGTGCCAGACAGCACAACATGATTTCTTCCATACAGCCATTAACCTCTTATTCCACAGAGACAGGGCATTTGCCAAAATAGTCATAGAAAGGGAATAACCACATCCTTTTAGGATCTGTTTGGTGAGGCATACAGAGCAGGGTCTGCCTGCGTGCTCGTCACCCGTGTCGGCGCTTGCACAGGGCAGTGGCCATGGGTGGCTCAGCACCAGTCCCAGGGGACACCAATGCCAACGTGCTGCTGTGCTGGAAGCTGTGGTCAGCACGAGTTGTCTTGAAACTCTTGGTTTAGAGATGGAGTGGAACATGAACACACTGGGATAGATAGGGCAAAATATCCATGCATGGGATGCATGAGTGAGTAGCTATTCCGTGAGCACCCCAGCAGAGGGATAATGTCTATTATGCCTATAAATGCCATAATGGGCTACATCCTACAATCAAATGATGCTCTGCAGAGGAAAAACGTTATCTGGAAGGGAATGGAAAACTGTGGAATATGTTCATTGGCCCTAAGAGCCAGAACAGTAATCAGAAATTGTGCCTCTGAGATTCTGATGCTCTTTCCTCACCCCTCTTTTCTTCTTCCCTTTGCAAGCAGTCTGGATCCGACCCAGACCTTGGCATGCTTACTACGCCCTAACTCCACAAAGCACATCGCAACCGCTGAGGATCAGGCACATACAGCATGCTCCTTCCCCACCCTCCATAAACATCCACCGAAAGATGAAGAGCTACAGGGTTTTTTTTCCCTCTTAACAGTTACTGGTGGCACCAGCCAAAGCACTGGAGAGGCACAGCCAGCCCAGTACAGCCACTCCTTCTCCTCTCAAGGATATAAATGCTCAGCAGGCTCCAGGGAGTGAATTTACCACTGTCAGCCCCTGAGGTCCTCGCCTTACGAAGTGAGCCAGCAGGAAAGCGAGCAGGTTCATACTGGAGCTGTTTTGTTTTGGCAAAGTTGGAGGGTTTTTTTTTTCTTGCTCTTGTCTTTTTCTTTCTTTTTTTTTTTTTTTTAACAGAAGTGGTTTGACGCCGGCGCGTCTGCCGCCCGCCCCAGGACTTCCCCGGGCAAGCAGCAGCAGGGGGGTCAGGCTGGCACCCTCCTGACGGGGGGTAATGTGGGGGGTAATGGCCCATGCCGCCAGCCAGGGCTCCCTGCTCTGTCCCAGGGTATGGCCAGCTGGTTTTGTTAAGCACATGGTATGGCTGATGCTGGGTGCTTACTCCTGCCATGCTGCCCGTCTGCCCACGCGGCCACAGGACTCTGCCCTCACTTGGGAAAAACCAGCTCTTAATTTTGGTTTTACACAGGAAAGCGAGTTTCTCTGGGTAGCCAGAGAAGCTGCTGCCAAAAGGAAGAAAGGGCAAGAGAAGAGGTTTTTAAAGACCATAAACACAGGCGGCAACAGACCAGCCACAACCCAGCAGGATGGTGTGCCAGCAGAGGCTTCCCAGTAGCACCAGTGCCGGGCAGGGCTGGATCCCTGCGCAGACACCGGCCGGTCGGTGTGCGCCACCTCCGTTTGCAATATTTGAACAGGAAGTTTGATCAAAAACCAGCTTCTTGTTTTACAGCTCACACAACCCAAACAGGGCCTGTCAGCAGGTCTCGGCTGTGCACAGGATGTCTCAGCACCTGCTGGAGGTTGGGAGGAAGGCCTGAAGAACCCCTCTCAGGTGGAACAGGCCGCTCTTTGAAATGGCTGTACAGCTAATAGGCAAAGTCTATGGCCAAATTTAAACAAATGCAATGATTTTCACCAATATTGATACATAGATGCATTTTTTAAACTTGACATAGGTTAGGTATATGTTGCCATTTTACCGGCTCCTCGCCACCCTCGCCTCAGGGAGCAACAGCCGCTGCCCAGTTTACCTGGCCAAATTGCAAACGTGGACCAGGGCTACATTTGCTGCCAAAACCACCAGTTGTAAATCCCCAAGGGTTTAGGTACGTACAGGTGGCCATGCAGGTTAAAATTGTCATATCAGAGATCAAAGGTCAACAAAGAGATTTGCCTCAAATTATGCTGTTGGTCTAATTGTATTAATTATTATTAGTTCTTTGCTGTGTGCAAGCAGACATTTCAAAATGTTGGCTCTTTGCTACGTTATATGTTTTTGCATTTTATTAGACTAATTTGAAAGATTCAAAACGATGAATAAATTGCCACTCTGTTTGCTTTATCTGCTGTTGCAGCCTATGCCCAACAGATGTCACATATGAAATTCAAATTACATCTTCAAATGGAGCATGACTTGGTAATGAATAATTCAAGACATATACTGAAAATGAGAATGCTGTTTTTAAACAGTGTGTTTCTTAGCACAGACAGCGTCAGTGGAAAAATACTCACCTATTTATCTGGCCATTTTCCACCTCTGTGAAATCATTTGAATCATTGCTGATGTTATCATCTTCAGGGACAGTCATATTCTGCAATTCAGTCAGTTCTAAGCCAGCTTTGAAAGGCATCCTGGGTGAGGAATTGTACGTATCCAAGTGTTTCTCCAAATATTAGTGTTTGGTTGGTATCTCCTGAGTAAACTGCAGCCACAGTGTCAGCAACCTAAATAAAACATAAAAAACCCAAAGATCTATACCACCACCACCAGACTATATCACCATAAGAAACTAGTGAAACCTGGACAAGAGGGACTGTCCTTATCGACCAAATTTGTATTGTTAGAAGGACCTCAGGTTATAACCCAAATGCATTGCAAAACGGTAGTAACCTTGTATGCCTTATTAAGATCAACTTCATTAACCTTACAAATTTACCTGGTCCCGTGACTGACTGCTGAAGACAGTAGTTGTATTTATAAACCAGTGAGCAAACCAATCCTATTTGTTCCAGGACAAAAAGCTTGATCACCTACAAATTAAGAAATAAAAATGATTTGCTTGTCCAAGTCCCATTTCAATATTCAGTGTTCATCTTCTGTATGTTCTCCATGTTGCCTCTTACTTAAAAATACAAAATAGCTTGTGTCCGTGCTGTTGCTAAATCCATGGAACAGAGGGATAGAATTATCCCAGTGCTCTGTTCTACTAAGGTCTGTATTCCAGGTATTTGAATATGTTAAGGTTTTTCCGTAAAGTGGATGTGCAGAGGATGCTTTGTGTATGGTTAAACTTACCCTGAACAAGGACAGAAACAGACAAAAACAAATCCCTAAGATCATGTATCATAGGAAGAAAGAGTAATGTATATCTTGTGTCAAGCAGTTATTATCTAGAGATCAGGTGAGCTCTCCTCTGATAGACGTGTTGCTTAAAAGCACCAAGAATAACACCAAAGGCAGATCAAACAAGTCTGCTGCAGTGACATATTACCTCATCAGCAATGCAAATCAACTGAAAGACCAATATTTTCCGGAGCCCGACCACTTTCGGCTGAGCTACAACTCCCGCGTGGTGCTGAGGCAACAGGATGTTACTCACAAACAAGCTCCCGCACCACAACTCTCTCAATTCCCATTTTGTGAATGAATTTTCTGCAGTATTGCCAAACAAAAATTCACCCTGGGGTACGTGGTGAACGCTCAGATGCCAGATTAGTTTGGGGATATTTTCAAATTCTCAGGGCTACCTCAAACCCATCAAACTGCTCGCATGCAACCAAAGAAGCAGGAGCATCCCCTCTTACAGGGCACTATGTCGACGCAGGAGGATGTAGTTCACTTGCTCAGTTACGACATCTGCCTGTTTCAAATTAAGTTTACAGGACCCACTACTTCTGGTTTATACCACATCCCCCACCATGCAGAAAAGGGCTTTGCAAATAAGCTTCCCCCCCCCGTAAATACTTTCTCAGAAATATAATTTTATCTTGAAGTTTACATGTGCTCCTAACATTTCCTCAAGAGCCCAAACTCCAAATTTCAGGTGCAGAGTTTAAAGGCGAGCCTCAAGACTTGCAGTAGGGCAGGATGGGCTCTTTTCTGCTGAAGGAGGAGTGAAGCAGGTGGTCAGGGTGGCAGACAGGGCCTGGTGCAGCCTGGTGCGAGGATGGGGGGGCATGTGAGCTGGGTCTCTGAAAAAGGGGGGGTCTCTCTACAGAAGAGATTTCCACTACAGATACCAGGGGAGCAACCACTCGGGTATTAAAATGTTGGCACACAAAAAAAAAAAAAAAAAGAAAAAGAAAAAGAAAAAGGGAAAAAAAGGGATTTATGCTGCTGATACATAAATGCAGACTGGCAAACACAGGGTGGTTTTAGCAGTGACATTCTGGAACAGTCTTCCCAGAGGCTGTGGGGATAAAATAGTCTACCTATTTTGGAAGAGAAGCACGATCTTTTTATAAAAGGATAAAGCCACGGGAGACGGTGACTGCTGAGGTGGTAAGGACCAAGCCCACTGAATCCTGAAGCTTCTTGTGACCATGAGTTCCTAAAATAAACAATTCCTTAATAGACGCGACAACCTCTGTACTGAGATCTGTATCCCCTGGCATTTAAAAACCCATGTAAAGGTTCATCTAAGATCCAAGCAGAGCAACTTTCCCTTTAGGTGCCATTTTGCATCCTGGTGCCTCCGGAGGATTTTCAGAACTGCCTTGACATTGCCCATGCTTAATAAATTCCCCATTAAGTGTTTCAAAAGCAGGTGCTGCTGAAATGAGTGCTCCTGTGAGGTGGGCAGCTGCTGGAGAGCAGACTTCACAGCTCACTGACATGCAGCTCCTGCTTTGCCCTGTTCTCCCCCTCCGTTGCCGAAATGTCGCGTGGCTGGACTGGCAGGGAAACGGCTCGCCAGTTTATTCACAAGGAATGTTTATGATGGATAAGTGACAAGCCTTTTTTTGTTTTAACCAAAACTCTGACTCTACAAAAAAAAATCGTTTGAATGAAGGTGCAGCAAGACCTCCGTGTGAGCAGTGCTAGTGGAAACACCAGCAATCATTCAGCAGCTCCTAGGTTTTGGGCAGAGGAGTTGCTCCTGAAGTAGCATGACAGCAGGCACATCTTTGAATCTATCTCGGGTTCTTGCTAGGTTAAGTGATTTACTAAAAAAAACAAACACCAAAAACCCAACAAAATGCCAGACTCCTGAAACAAAAAAAAATTTGGTGGATGAATTAATGCATTGCAATTCATAGCATGAGAAAACCTGATCTCAGTGCCAAAACACGAGGAGGGTGAAGAGAGAGTGGTGGGGCTGGGGACCGCGACTTTCACTGTCACAGCATTCACTCCTCACAAATCTTTGGCAAAGGATAACCACCTCGTCCTTAGCACCTCCATCTGTAAAATTAAGATGATAATAGCGACAATAGCACTCAGTTAGTGAAGCACTGGCAGATGCAGAGTGAAAGAGTGATAGAAGCGTTATGCCTGGAAAAAAACACCATGCAAACTGCAATTTTTTTGCAAAGATAACTTTACCATACACATATACAGAGCAAACCCTTTGACATTGCTAATCGCTCTAGGCACCCTCCACAGCCAGTGGAGTACAGGTGGTCACATGAATTCCACCTCCAAATAATGTATTTTAAATTTCAAGTTCATGGATGTGACAAACGGCAGTCTAAATAAAATCTACGGCCCCAAAGGGTAGGGTTCGTGTCAACTAGCTTTGTTCCCTACAAGTCGAGTGGCCACTCCAGGCTCATCACTTGGCCTCTACAGCGGAGCCTGGCACTGCCAGAGGACAATCCTCCCCAGCCCACGTGAGGGGTTTGCAGCCACGCTGAGCTGCTCTCTGCAAATGCCATAGCTTTGCTCCCAAAGGGATCTTCGACACTGGGATAGCTGGGCTAAGCAAGTCACCACCTCAGGGGTAGGTGCCGCTAATGCTGTGGGAAGAAAAAAAAAAAAAATAGAAATTGCTTCAACTAATAAAAATTCACCATATGTTGGTGCTGAGGTATACAGGAAGCAGCATGGTAATATTTTTACTTTTAAGGCCTTTTCATTCAAGAAACGTCATGAAATAAATGCAAATAAAAAAAAAGCTATGTTGGCAAAGGTTCCCAGACTGAGTTTTATTCATAATTTACATTGAAAGGCAGCACATAATCCTCTGAAGAGTGACCATAGCAATCCCAATCACTTCCAGTCACTCTGCCTACTACTCTGCCCAGCCTTAAATCTCCCCAAAAGAAAACTTCCACATACCTGCCATCAAACCTCTCTCTCCAGACACACACATCGTAAATCAACAAGAAGAAATAAGTATCTTGCCCTTAAAACTTTTCCACTCAGATGGGCAAACACTCCTCCTTGAAGGAGGAATCACCCTGAGAGAAAACTGGGAAAGAGCTAACGATCCTTCTAAAGGAACCTCAAAGGTCTGTCTTTGGGAACTGATCCAGCCCCTCTGTTTAGTAGAAAAAGCACTGCTCTGGCTGAGGAGCTTGGCTTTCTCTTTAAACATCCCATGACATGTCTTGTAAAACCCATTATGGATAATTTATTCATCGTGTGCTGCTTGCAGAATATGGGAAAGATTACAACTGGTCACAAACTTCAGAAGGAGGACTGTGAGATGACACAAGAAGATAAAATGAGTTTATTTTTCTCAAGGACACTGAGACCTTCACAAACCATTAAAACACATTCCAAGAACTGGGGTCATTTTCTCTGTTAGCTTCTGAAAGATTACAAAAAAAAAAAAAAAAGAAAAAAACCCCTGCAACTTCACTTTTCTGGACTGTTAAACTTCCACAACAGGAGTAATGGGCTCAAAAAGTCTGTATTTAAAAAAAAAAGGTAATACAGACAATCTAACTTTATTTCTTCTGCTGGCTCAAACATGAATCCTTTCTGGTGCGTACCTGGAAGAGGTGTAATCTCAGAAGCTGTGTTGGGGTTTTTTTGTTTGTTGTTTTTGTTTGTTTGTTTTGTTTGTGATTGTTTGATTGCTTGCTAGAAGTTGTGTTTTTAACAGTAACATCATTCCTGATGGTAATGGTAACACCTTATTTTACAGGCCATTTTTTTTCATATCCTGTGAATGACATCATTCAAAAAGTGCCATCTTAAGGCACATGGCCACCCAAAAGCTGACTCAGTGTGTGTGAGGCATTTGGGTACATGGTTGGGTTGGACACCATCTCGCCTGTCTCTGGGTATTGTTTTTGTCACGTGCCCTTGCACACTCACTGGGCACTTCATTCACTGAACACAACCCACAGTCCAATGGTCTTGGGGATGGCAAATATCCAAGGCACGTTCAGCATTTTTAACTATGAAATTCAAGATAATTTGCTTAAAAGCTGAAATGTGACTCAACTTTCTTCTCAAAGGGGGTTTTGCCAAGAACTCCTCTTGGTCGGTTACGAGTCATCAGAATCCAGCGCTTGAGTTTCACACAAGCTGTTTTTATTCCTGCAAAGCCTGAGATGTGATACGTCTTTCTTTGCTCACACTTTTGAAAGTTCTCTCAAAGAAGAGCAATATGACCAGTAAGACACTGTGGACATAAATAATGAAACACCGAGCCTGAAACTCTGTGTATGGAGTATT